CAAGACATCTTCTGGGCCCCCTATGACTATTTTTAGAAAATAATAATAACAATAACAATAACAATAACAACAAAACAACAATTATAATAGCCAATGTACATTGGTGTTTTTGAAAGTGTACCCAGAAAAAAAATGACAGAGATAAACAAAGAATGTAGAAAAGAAGCTGGAAAGCTAGAACAGATGGAGAAGAACAATCTCATCAATTTGCCTTCTGGGTATCTTGTAACTGGTGATGAATATCATGGCAGACATTTTGTAAGAACATGCCCTGCTTCCAAATTTCTAAATATGCTACTGGTCCAAAAGGTTTACCTACTCCTAGATTAGGTTATGGGAGGGAGCAGGGAATGGACATTTTGGCACAGATCTGAGGTGGTATGGGGCACAATGCAAAGTTTCCTGGATGATCTGAGTGCTAAACAATACAATTTGCTGAACTGTCTATGTGCCATGCTTCCAACCCAATTTCTGCTGACTGTATGGACAAATTCCTACCATCTCAATCTACCCCCAGAGTAATCTGTAGTGCTTCTGAGGACAACCCGGTGATCTTTTTGATCTCATCCATTCACCTTCTCCATATCTTGTTCTACGTCAGTCTCTTTTGCCAGGCATAGTCATTTTTTTAGCCCATCATCCACTTGCATCACATGTCCAAAATATGTGAGCTTCTTCTTGTTGGGCATTGCCTCAGAGAAGCAGTTTGTCAGCCCTTTGAAGTAGGCAGCTCAGGAATCAGACACCTCAAGGACTTTGAGAACTTCATTTCTGTAGGGTATAATAACAGGATCTTGAAAGCCTGCTCCGTTTCCCTCTGTCCTCTCTTCTACCATGCAGAATCAAGGTGAGGTTATTTTGAGTCTCTTTCTTAAAGCTTATTGTTTTCCCAGGGCTGAGATTCCATTTATTATCTCCCTTATCTGTTAACAGCTTTTGCCTTCCTTCGCTATCCCTGCCTGCGTCTGCACAGTCAGCCTTTATTTGGTCCAAGACTGGCTGCCTCTTCTTGCTTCCTTAGGAACCATCTCAAAATCCGTAATTCAGAGGCATTGCCCCTTTTTCTTGCCGTCTTTCTCACTATCCAGCTTAACGTTTATATAGTACCACTGGAAAAACCATTGCTTTAACTATTCTGATCTTTGTGGTCACAGAACTAACCTTATCTTTCATGGTTTTGTCTAAGCCTGTCAGTGTCTTCCTTCCTAGGCTCAATTTCCTCTCTACTTATCCAGGACTCTGTCCATATTTATTCTTGAGCTCAAGGAAACAATCACCTTCACTTCCTACCATCAACTATAAATTCACTCTACTTGCTGGTTGACGTTGCTGCTATCTTTTTAACATTTAACATTAACCCAGATTTTTCGTTCCCTATTTTTTTATTTTCATAATGAGATCTTTCCTTTCAGCTAATGAGGTAGGATTGTCCACATATCTCAAATTATTAGTGTTTCCACCTCTAGTTTGGATTTCAGCTGTCACCTCTTCTAATCCTGGCATGCTTAGAAACATATTTGCTATTTAAATTAAGCCAGTATAAGGATAATCTGTATCCTGTCTCATTCTCCTCCTATCCTGAACCACTCCTTTTCTCCAAACACAGTTCTGTAGGATCTTGATCATGGTAAAGGGTGCTCAGAAAAATCACTGGGTATTCTGGTATGCTTACTGCTTGCTATATGTTCTGGCATAACCTATACTGTATATTCAAAAAACTTGTTGCAATTGATGGAGCAAAAGTAAATCTTGTATTATCTGTCTCTCTGCATTATCTGGTTTATGTTAGCTATCACGTCTGTTCATTTGTCATTTCTCTCGCCATTTAAAGCTCTATTCTTCTTGGCAAGGTCTTAAGCAAAATCGTGCTGTAATCAGGAATTAACACAATGGTTCCATAGTCTGTGTATTCTCTTGCATCTCCCTTCTTTGGTTATGGGTGTATGCATTGAACTTTACCAGTCTCTAGGCTACACAGTCTTATTCCATATTTGTTGACATCAAACTGTTAGCACTTTAATTGCTTCTGCTCCTGAAACTATGAAGAATTCAGTGAGTATTTCATCTGCGTCTGGTGCTTCCCTATTTGACAACTGACCTGGCCTGTCATATCTAGCAGAGCCCATTCCTAAATCTATTCTCTCTGCAAATGTTTCTGCTATTCTATATCCCCATCTGTAAATGGGTTTCCATGTGATTTTTCCATCTTCCATCCATCTCTATTAGAGTTTTTCCATCATTGAAATGAATGGTCCTACCCTAGTTGTAAACTTTCTTGCAGCTTCTTGGATCTTGTTTTTTAAAAAAATATCTGGTTTTCCTTTCCTTGTTATTTTCATCTATTTGTTAATATCACCAATTGAAATGTCTTTCCTTATCCTTTCTTGCTTTATGTTAAAAGTCTGGCTTCACTTGTGATATGTCCTTATTTCCCAAGGCTCACCTGTTCTGTCTGCATTCCACTATCATGATATTTATTTCTCAAAGCCACTTGGATCTTTTCTTCTTGGACATTTCCCCCCTTCCTCTTTGATGTTCTTAGCTCTTTTCATAGTTCCTCAGTTCTCTTTTAGATAGTTTAAGTTTACTGAAACTTTCCTTTTCATTGATTTTCTATTCTAAGTGTATATCCTCCAGGTCAAATTGGCACACTCACTCTCTTTAAAAAATGAAAAAAGACCATGAACCCTATGATGACTGTAGGCAGTGTTCAACTAGACAGTGAAGGATCCCTCCCCTTAAGAAAGCAGAGATAACTTCTGAAAGGAAATGGGTTGATCTTGACATCCTTTCTCCTTCCTATAGAAGCCACTGGCTTGATGTCTGCCCACTAACAGCTTTTTGTTCCATTGTCTCTCTGAAATTATCTTCTTTTCTGATTACTTCTTCAAAAATGTTCTGCTATACTAGCTAGCCACCATCCCTCTCATGCTACTATCTTCTGTATAAGGTGCCATAGTCATACCATAAGGCAGGTGTGGTTCCTGTAGGTGCCACTTTAAGAAGATATGTCTTTTATGAGAATCACATAACCAGACCTGGACAGTTTCCTCACACTTTGGTTTAAAGCTTCTCATTGAGAGTTGCCCATCATCAACCCTTATAGTTCTCCTATCTAGCCTGTTATTCCCTTCCTTGCTGTTACATTTATTTTCAGCAGTGAAGAAACACAGAAAGAAAAAGAGAGAGAGAGAGAGAGAGAGAGAGAGAAATCTACCTTATATTTTATACTTATCAATAGTCACTGGTTTACTAATAAATACACTACTATAAAATAATCAGTACAATATATTATTGTAAAATATCACAACATATCCGCTGTAGTAACACATATTGCTGCATAGTTGTTTATTTTGTTTATTCTTGGTGGATTACAAAATGAAACAATGCAAGTAATAAAAGAATAAAGCATGATTACATCCTTATATGAATAAATAACAAAAATGAAGGATATGAAAATAAAAATATATAGAAGTCACTATTGCAGTGTAATTCAGACACTTAAAATCGAAACAAATTAGAAGTACCTAGGAAAAGAAGGAGGTTTTAACCCCACCTCACCCCCCGAGTGAAAATATCATTGTAGACTTCAGGATGCCCGTTGCCTCATCTGCATTAGATGGAAAGGAGAAGTGACACCATTGTGTCATTGGTGTATTAAGGATACCTAAACCCTAATCGATCTACCAATCAAATTACCTGGAAATGCATAGTTGCATGGAGCAATATTTCCCCAGTATCACCTTCTGGAAATGGCTAGTCAAACAGGAGTAAAACCAGTATCTCCCCAGCTCTCAGCTCAGGCTGTCATCAACCTGGCTGATGGTACCAAAAGCTACTGAGTCCAAGAGAACCAGTGATTGCCCTCCTCCAGGGTGACCAGAGAAGATTTTGGGGTTGCTGTTGTTGAGTTGTTTTGGGGAGTC